TTCTCAATCACAATCCTCTCACCACTGTTGAAGATCCGTATCTCTTTAAATTGCCAGCATTAAAATATCTGTAAGTACTATAGTACTCTCATGAGTCATGAGATGATTTATGCTTTTTAAATTTTTATCAAAGCTTAAGTATTTTGCATTTAGGCTAAAATGTCATAATTTAAATTTTAACTGGGTTATTGAAAAAAGTTATTGGCAAAGAAAAAAATTAAAGAGGATGTATAATTGTCAAGACAGCAAAGGAAGAGAACAGTGTTGAAGAACCCATATAGATTTAGAACATGTAGACACATGGAGAAATATTATTTAACCAAGAAAACAAAGGGGAAAAGGTGTTCATTATTTTAAAAATGAACAAAAGAGTAAATACGATGGTGAATGCAATATGAAAATGAGAAGATAATGGTAAAAAAAAAAAAGGTGTAAGTTCTGCTCTTGAATATCATTAATTTGATGACGCAAATCAACTTAAATTTCTTTAATAAGAGCTCCCTGGAATTCTACAGCAAATAAACTCTTGAGCTGGCTTGTTTTATAGAGAAGCCAAAATTGAAGTAATCACATGTCCTTGAAATATCTTTTTAAGTACAGAATTTTTTACTGGGTTCATATCATGAGTGTTTTGGCTTTCTTCTTCAGAGACATGAGAACAACGCAAGTCCCACTTACAACACTTAAGAACATTCTCACGATGACTGTTGAACTGGAAAAACTGTAAGTTATTCTCTTCTTAGATTTATTTTCACTTAGTTGGTTCTTTAGGTTTGTTTTATTATTTTCTTATGTCAGGTTTATTGAGATGTAATTTTCATATACTAACATTCACCCTTTTCAAGGGTACAGTTTGATGAGTTTTGACAAATGTATAGTTACATAACCACCACCACATTCCCAATATAAAGTATTTCTGATGCCTCAAAAAGGCCCCTCGTGTCCCTTTGCAGTCAGTCCCCTCCTCCCACCATCAGCCCCTGTTAACTATTAATCTGATTTCTGTTCCTATACTTTTTACTTTTGCCTTTTCCAGAATGTCTTATAAATGAACTCATATAGCATGTGTTTGGCTTCTTTCACATAGCTTTTTTTTTTTTTTTTTTGAGACATAGAGTCTTACTCTGTCACCCAGGCTGCAGGGCAGCGGCATGACCTAGACTCACTGCAACCTCCGCCTCCCAGGTTCAAGCGATTCCTGCCTCAGCCTCCCGAGTAGCTGGGATTACAGGCGCATGCCACCACTCCTGGCTAATTTTTGTATTTTTAGTAGAGACTAGATTTCACAATGTTGGCCAGGCTGGTTTTGAACTCCTGATCCGCCCGCCTCGGCCTCCCAAAGTGCTAGGATTACAGATGTGATCCACCTCGCCTGGCCTCACTCAGCATAAGTTTTTTTGAGATACGCTACCATCCATGTTGTTGCACCTATTATAACAGCTGGCCCTCCATATCTGCAGGTTCCTCATCCATGGATTCAATTAACCATGGATGGAGAATATTTGGAAAAAAATAAAATATATAAAACAACAATAAAAACAGTAGAAAATTTAAAATACAGTATAATTATTTACATACCATTTACCCTGTATTAGGTATTTAAAGTATACCTGAGGCTATACACAAACATTGTCATTTCATATAAAAGACTTCAGCTGTGGACTTTGGTATCTGCAGGGGTTCCTGGAGCCAATCCCCTGCAGACAACAAGGGACAGCTGTTCACTCCTTTTTATTGCTGAGTAGTGTTCCAGTTGTGTGGAAACCCCATCTCTACTAAAAATATGCAAATTAGCCAGGTATGATGGCCCATGCCTGTAATCCCAGCTACTCTGGAGGCTGAGGCACAAGAAGTGCTTGAACCTGGGAGGTGGAGGTTGCAGTGACCCGAGATTGCACCACTGCACTCCAGCCTGGGCGACAGAGCGAGACTCTGTCTCAAAAAAAAAAGTAAAAAATAAAACTGTTTTCTGAAGAGCAGAAGTTTTTAATTTTGATCAGCTTTAAATAAGCAATTTTTTCTTAAATGGCTTGTGATATTTCGTTTCTTACCTAAGAAATCTTTAAGAACCTGTTGTCTAATCCAATGTCAAAAAGATTTTCTCCTCTGTCTTCTCCCAGAAATTGTATATGTTTAGGTCTATGATCCATTTTGAGTTAATTTGCAAATATGATGTGAGGTATCTTTTTTTTTTCAATTTAATTTTAATTTTTAATTTTTTTGTAGAAACGAGGTCTCACTATGTTGCCCAGGCTGGTCTCAAACTCCTGGTCTCAAGTGATCCTCCTGCCTCACCCTCCCAGAGTGCTGAGATTACAGGCACGAAGCACTGCGCCTGGCCTTCTCTGCAGGATATATATATATATATATATATATATATATATATATATGTCAGCCAGGTGTGGTGGCACACGCCTGTAGTCCCAGCTACTAGGGAACCTGAGTCAGGAGGATCACTTGAACCCAGGAGGTGGAGGTTGCAGTGAGCCAAGATAGCACCACTGCACTCCAGCCTGGGTGACAGAGCAATACCATGTCTTAAAAAAAAAAAAAAAAAAGGTCCTGCAGGGCCCCATTGTGAGTTTGTTACACAATTTCCTGCCACTTAAATGGTGCCACCACCCCACCATATGGCAAGCTAAATAGAAACTCAGTTATGCTAAGGCTCCTTGAGGGCATTATAGAAGATTAGCATGGAAAGGGCCCTTCATTTCGCACTCTGCTCCATTCATTTTTGTCAGGTCACTTTCTTATCTTGACCACATTGTCAGATCTGTTTTACTGCTCTAGCCTCACTTCCCTCAGCCTCCTGCAGCATCTTCCCTGTCAGCTAGATCCCTTCCTCTCTGGATGAAGTCCTCTTCATCGACCAGCTTTCTCACTTGGTTCTCTAAGACAGTGAGGATCTGTCTGCTTTTTTCTTGACCATTAGTGGATAGGAAAAAGCTCTCATTCTCTGTAACGATTTGTCACCGAGGCCATAAAGACATTGAACTAACTCCCTTATGGGAGTTCATTATTGGAAGTCTTCAGGAGTTTACACATTGATATACAAAGTAAGTAGGCCAGTGCATTTGAGTCTTGGCTCATGTGTAATGATCTTTAATGCATATTGAAAAATTATTCTCAAGTAAGGATAACATACACCTCAGGTCATTTACAGTCTCAAAGGTTTGTCAATATACTTTAAAACAATCCTGGGAACAGTTCTAGATTGAAGGAGACTAAAGAATCATGCAGTAAGTGCAATGTCTGATGTTTGACTGGATTCTGAATTTGTTTAGGCCATGTTATGACTGGGACATTGTGAAAATGTGTATATGGGCTACATAGTAGACAATGATAATATTAAGTTCCATTGGGTGATGATAGTATTCTGGTTATGTAGGAGAATGCCTTGGTTCTTAGGGGCTGCACACTGAAGTGTTTAATGGTGAAGGGTCATTATGTCTGCAACTGACTCTCACATGGCTTGTCCAGAACATGTATTAGATACACACACGGAAAGCAAATGTGGCAAAGCATAACAATTGTTGATTCTAGCTGCAAGTTATACAGGTGTTCATTAGACCATTTGAAAATGCTTTCTAGCCACCCTAAGGCTTAAAGGAAAAAAATAAACCCTTTAAAATAAAAAGTTGGGGGCAGAAAAAGAGTAACAAAACCTTTGGACTTGTGCCTGTAATCCCAGCACTTTGGGAGGCCAAAGAGAGAGGGTTGCTTGAGCTCAGGAGTTCGAGATCAGGCTGGAGTATATGGTGAAACCCCATCTCTACAAAATATACAAACATTAGCCAGGCGTGGTGGCACACACCTGTAGTTCTAGCTACTCAGGAGGCTGAGGTGGGAGGATCACTTGAGCACAGGAGGCAGGGGCTGCAGTGAGCCGAGATTGCACCGCTGCACTCAGCCTGTGTAACAGAGCGAGACCCGGCCTCAAAACAAACAAAAGAACCACCTTTGTGTCAGAGTTAAGGTTGCTGTATAATAAAATGCTGGGGTACGGTTCTGGGTCCATTCCACATGAAGATCAGAGGCTTCCACTGGACCCAAAGGAATAATACTAGTCACTTGTGATTATTCCTCTATAAGGTTTGAAAGATGTATCAGGCCAACTTAATGGATGCAGTTTTAATCTAAAACTCTATACATTGTACCCCCAACTCATAGGCTTCATGTATCCATGAAACACTCTTCTGTCTCCACAGTCTTAATGTGGCCCTAATAAAGCCACCCTCTTGGAGGACTCAGAAGAGGCCCCCCACAATCACTGCAACATAATAATTATAGTAGTTAACTGCTATTGAGCACTCACTGTGTGCCAGGCATTTTTCAGGTATTGATTCATTTAATCCTCAAAACTCATTCGAGGTAAGTACTATTATAATGACAAGGTCGAGGAACAGAGATTAAGCAATTTGCCCAAATTCACATTATTAGCGGAGCTGGGATTTAAGCCTAGTCTGGCTGTGGAATCTGTATTCTTAATGACCATGCTATACTCCCTGAGATTAACCTTTTACTCCAGTTACAGGGATTGTCTTTATCTCTCTGAAACTACCCCCAATAAGCCATAACAATAAATTAATCAATTGTCTTGGTTATCTCTTCTGCCCAAATTTACATTTTGAAAAAAATTTAAACATACCAGAAAGATGAAAAGAATAGTATAGAATCCAATTGAAGATCAGGCACTGCATGTCATGTCTTCATTTCCTTTAATCTAAAACATTCCTCTACTTTCTTTGATCTTTCATGACATTGGCATTTTTTAAGAGTCAAAGATAGTTGTCTTGTAAATGTCCCACAATCTGGATTTGTCAGTTTCCTCATTTTTGGGAAAAATACTGCATAGGTAATGTATCCTTCCTGCCTCGTAACCGCAGATTGCCTGTAATACTAAATTTGATGACTTGATTAAGGTGATCTTCCAGATCTCTCCATTGTAATTATTTTGCTGGCTGTAGTGGCTCACACTTGTAATCCCAGCACTTCAGAAGGCCAAGGTGGGAGGATTGCTTGAGTCCAGGAGTTCTACACCAGCCTGAGCAACATGGTGAAACCCTGTGACTCTTCTTAGAAGTCTACCTTCTTCCTGTGTAGTTTCAGCCCAAAGTGAGACTTTTGAGTTGGGAAGAAATACTTCTGAATTAAACTACTGATCAGTGTCACCCAATTCTAATCCCAACCACCTTTTTCTAGGCATACCGTACTCACTGCCATACTTACTGTTCGGTTGGGCACCTTTGCCCTCCTTCCTATTGGCCTTCTAGTTCCTACCCAACTGTCCAGTCCACAGGCCTCAGTAACACCTTTTCGCCCAGCCCTGTGGTAGCGTTGGCCTGCCTCCTTTACCTTCTCAACCGCTTTACCACTAATGTATTGTTTTGTGTTTTCATCTATAGGATCTTACCTAGCCATATGGCCTGCTGCCTCTGCCAATTTAAAAACATCATTGAGGCTGTTGGCAAGACAGTCAAGCTGCATTGCAACAGTGCATGTCTGACAAACACCATACGTTGTCATGAGTCCAAATTGCCTGGTGATCAATTGTTACATTATTTTAAGTATTTGTTTTTAAACTTTTTATTTTTAATGATGATAAAATTGTAAGCTAATGATATAATTGCTTTATTTTATTTACTCATTCAGAGTTAAACTCCCTCAATTTCTGAACTATTCCCTTGCTGAGAGTCAGGTTCTCAGTTATTATTACAAAATTTAATAATAGAACTGTTCCATATGCACAAACGACCAAAACAAAGCAATGGGAAGACTAGGGAATAACATTAACATCCACACACTGTGTACTGTGCTCTCTGCTTGGTGCTTTGCCCCCAGTGACAATTTATTCATATAGTGCAATGTACTGTGTAAGCTGGTTTTATACGCATGAGGTCTCAAGTACTCTCTGCCTTACAGGACAGATGTAGATCTGGTTTTGATTTTTTTGTTTTTACAGGTTTATAAGAGTACAAGTGATGCTGTTTTATTTGAAGCCTGAGAGTTTCTGGTTCCATAACCATAAATTGCTACCTGGCTCTTCTAATGGAATGGAGGGCTTTTCCAAGCTTAGACCATCCAACTCTGAACTTGCTCTGAATCTCAAACCTTTCTATTCACAGAACAAATGCTCAAGTGCCTTCAGGAGTTTTTCTATAGATTAGGTTTATTAGCACCAACTTCATGACTTCTAAAATGTGACTGCTTTTCATGTCCAGATAGCTTGAATACAGGTATCTATGAGTGATATGGGGTGGATAATTAATAATGCTTAGCTACTTATATAAAGACAGTGTTGCTTATTTTTCAAAACTTTTTTTTTTTTTTTTTTTTTTTTACCAATTATATTCTTCCCTTCTCCCCAAGAAGTGGGCAGAAAAGCATTGGTAATCTCCTTTTACAGATGAGGAAAAACAAGATCAGAGGTGCTAAGTGCTGTACCTTGTGCCAGGTCTTCTGTCCTCAATTCTGGGTTCTCCCCAAGCCCGTGTTTCTCCTTTCTCACAATCTTTACTTCTTCCTCTGACCCTCAGCACCACCCAAAATACTTTTAATTCTGGAAAAGAAAGCCAGCTGCACACTGGCACACTTGACCTTCATGCATTCAGAAGCTTTGGATGGTTCCCAATCCAGAATATTAGAGATGAAATGAAAGCAAAGTAGGCATCTGACAAAAGTTGCTTTTTCCCTTCTGTATTATAGGATATCAAGTAATGTTTATCCAGAAACTGCTGTCATACCACAGATTCATTGTATATTCAACAACATAAGCATAGCATACAATCTGGCAAATTAAAAACCTCTTAACCTACACCCTGGATCCCTGTCCAAATTTAAGAAAAGAATTAAGGTGGACACGGTGTTTTTTCCATGTCGTGTCTTCTGTGATGGGGCTATGGTATGTGGGAACAGAGAATGGGGTGGGTGGGTGGAGCGTGTGCCAGATGAGGATCTATCAGCAATGGGAGGGGCTCTCCACATTAGTATCTCCATCCTGCTCCTCTCAGAGGACCGCCTTCCACTGCATTCAGCTGTGATGGTAGCAAGAACACGGGTACACTGAGGACAAGGAGAGAGGGAGCCTTGTGCTCTCTCTGCATATGAGGCAGGACAGCACAGGGTACGGAGCAGTCTGCAGAGAGGCCAGCTCATCAGGGAAGCACTTGTCTTCCACCTTGGGCTTTGACTGAACGCTGGGCAACTGGCCCCTGGGGATCAATGGAATAATCCTAAGCAGACTTACTCTGTGTCACACTATGCAATGTTCCAAGTAGGTGGCCATGTTTTCAAAAGATGTCTTTTCTCCTTTTGTTGTTGCCATTTCATAGGTTTAGGATTGGGTGTGTGTTTCTCCTCTCTGAATGGCACTCGAATGTTTGCTGACTCCTACTCTGTGTGACTGGGGCGTACAGCTGTGAGCTGATGCATGCTGTCCCATCATCTTTCATGATCAAAGGAGTCTCTTCTTTTTTCACAGCTGAAGAAGCATCCGTAGGGAATCCAGAAGGAGCGTTCATGAAGGTGTTACAGGCCTGGAAGAAGCACACGAGCACTGAGCTGACTATTGAGCCGGAAGTGCCCTCAGACAGCAGTGGCATCAACTTGTCAGGCTTTGGGAGTCAGCAGCTAGACACCAATGACGAGAGTGAGGTTATCAGTGCACTGAGTTACATCTTGCCGTATTTCTCCGCAGGAAATCTAGATGCGGAATCAATGTTATTACCGTTCATAAAACGGCTCTTTTCTAATGCGCAAGATGGAGATAGGGCCCTGGGTATTTTGAAAAACAATACAAAGGGCCCCTCTCTTCAACCTGCATCCAACAACTCAACTTATGAAAGTAAATTGAGAAAGCTGTATTTGCTAGAAAATGTGTTAGATGCAGAAATACAGGAAAAAATTGATGAAGTTAAAAGGGAAGAAAAAACTGCCATGCTTATGCAGACCAGCCTTCTAGGTAACAAATTTAAACGCCAAATATTTGAAAAGAAATTAGAAACTGTCCAACCACAGGAAAACAGCCTGGCAAAGATTCAAAGTGTAGGCAACAACCTGCAGAGAGTGAACAGAGTCCTCACGGGCCCAAGAAGCATCCAGAAAAGGCACTTCAAAGAGGTGGGAAAGCAGAGCACCAGGAGGGAAGAGGGTGCGCAGGCATTTGTGGAGAGCGCTGCCCAAGAAAAAAGGCTCGGGAGCCCGGTCTCAAGGGAGTTGGAACAGCCTCACACAGAGCAGGGGCCCAAGAAGTTAGTGGAAAACACCGTCTACACCAAGCCTTCGTTCACCCAAGAGCTTAACGCAGCAGTCTCCTCTGTGCTGAAACCCTTCTCCATGGGCGAGGGAGTTTCTGCCTCCACCCCTGCAAAAGCCCTACCTGAGGTCAGAGACAGATCAAAAGACTTAACCCACACTGTTTTCATTTTAGAAAATGCAAAGGCTAGAGTTACAAATATGAAGGCTGCTAAACCAATCGTACATTCCAGAAAAAACTACCGCTTTCATAAAACTCGCTCCCGCGTGGCCCACACAACACCCAAGGTCAAAAAGATTAGAGAGTTGAGAAAGGAAAGTTATCTCGATAGACTGATGCTTGCAAACAGGCTGCCGTTCTCTGCAGCGAAGAGCCTCATAAATTCCCTTTCACAAGGGACTTTTTCATCTTTAGGAGACTGGAGTGCTCAGGAAAATCCTTTTCCTAAACTATTTGATACTTCAGAACGTGTTATAGAGGACACTAATGTAAAGAACACAACTGCAAGAAATGCCTTTGAAGCAATCATTTTTATGGAAAACACTACTATGCCAGAAGGCACCATCTCTGAAAACACAACCTACAATCCTCCTCCTGAGGCAGATTCCGCTGGGACTGCGTTCAACTTAGGGCCAGCTGTTAAACGAACTAATCAGACACAATGGGAATACAACAACGTGGGCACTGACCTGTCCTCCGAGCCCAAAAGCTTCAATTACCCGTTGCTCTCGTCTGCAGGTGATCAGTTTGAAAATCAGCTAACCGAGCAGCTACGGTCCCTCATCCCCAACAACAATGTGAGAAAGCTCATTTCTCATGTTATCCGGACCTTAAAGATGGACTGCTCTGACACCCATGTGCAAGTGACCTGTGCCAAGCTCATCTCCAGGACAGGCCTCCTGATGAAGCTTCTCAGTGAGCAGCAGGATGTAAAGGCGTCCAAGGCAGAATGGGATACGGAACAGTGGAAAACTGAGAACTATATTAATGAGAGCACGGAAGCCCAGAGTGAACAGAAAGAGCAGAGGTTGAGTGAGGTGAGGACCACACAGAAACATAAGACCCAGATTTCCCAGCATTTAGTGTATGCCAGGAAAGTGCCCACACAGCAGAACCTGGGACTCCCAGGCCATAGCTCATCCTGGTTATGTAACTTCGGCCATGACGGTGATCTCCCACTTTGCTCATGTAGAGGGTGAAATAGATTAGTGCACAAGGTGAACTGTAGACCAGGGGTGGTAGCTCACGCCTGTAATCCCAGCACTTTGGGAGGCCAAGGTGGGTGGATCACTTGAGGTCAGGAGTTTGAGAACAGCTTGGCCAACACAGTGAAACCCTGTCGCTACAAAAAATACAGAAATTAGCTGGGTGTGGTGACACATGCCTGCAGTCCCAGCTACTCGAGAGGCTAAGGTTGGAGGATCACCTGAACCCAGGGAGGTCGAGTCTGTAGTGAACTGTGTTTGCACCACTGTACTCCAGCCTAGGTGACAGTGAGATCCCATCTCAACAAAAATAAAAAAGAACCAGTAAGCTACTCACCTGGAACACTGGGGTTTTGAAAAGTTAGCTTTCATTCTCTTTGTTGTTGTTGTTTTTTAAATTATTCTTTTTTTTTTTTTTTTTTTTAGCTCACAAAAGAAGTTCCAGGATATGGCTATAACAACAAACTCATTTTGGCATTACTTGTGACTAAAATTCTAACGACTTTGATTATAATTATCTGCCTCATTGAGGTAAGGACAATAATTAATTCAGGTTTTCAGAATGCAGTGCTGTCTTTGTGTGGATTCAGAGCCCACAAACTCAAAACCAAAGCCACTTTCCCACCTGCTGCTACTTGACATTCTTCTTCAGTCGGTTAAGGCTGACGTACGCTTTGTTCTTTTACCACAGTGTATATTCCAGGATTTTAAAGGATCCTCACTTCCAGGAGATTTCTATGAATTGTAACCAAGTTAATCCCACTAGATTATTTTAAGAAGTTAAGTTGATATAATAGCAAAATTTGTCCCACCCAAAACGATGTCAACAATTGGATGTACTCACCAAGTCACCCTTACTCTGCCACTCATTTATTTCCTTGTTGCTGAAATGATGAGAGACGTATAATCTCCATCCTCACGGAGTTGTCATCACCCTGGAAAGGAAGGAGACAGCCAAAAGAGAGAAGTATTGTCTTGTAGACTTATTAGGTTCACACAGTATCGTCCTTCTCCAGTGTGTAAGGTATTGTCTAAATAGCTCCAGTTAAAGCACTACAGGGTAGCCATCTTTTAAAAAAATTGTTGGCCACATTTTTTAAGTTCACAGGGGAGGGAGAACATCTCATACTCCAGCCCTCCTGAGCCTAGGCCCTCTGTGAGATGTGTCACCATTTCTTGGACACCATATGAGACAATCCCCCTTGGATTAGAGATGTTCAACCTGCATCAACATATCTAAAGCCTACATCTGGCTACTCTGGGGCGAGTCTTGTTCACAGTGCCCATTCCTGGAGCTTGCCTCTGTTTGCCTTTTGTTCAATTACATAATGTATTACTTTTCCCAAGAGGCCACTGCTAGCATATTGGAAGTGATTTAATAAGCTGGCACCCTTGACGCTATGCTACCGGTCCAACCTTACTTGCCTCATTTACCATTTCCATTATTGTGGCAGCCCCTCCATTCCAGCCAGAGCAGCCCCTCACCATACCCCAGTCACACCATCTGCATTTCTGTTCTGGTCTGTGCGTCTGTCCATCTAAAATGCCCTTATTTCACTCTGCCTGTGGGAGTCCCATGAATCCCTCCAAAGTCAACTCAAGTTCATCTTTCTGCTTGAAACCTTCCCTGAATATCCAGCCCTCCTGAGCCTAGTCCCTTTGTGAGATTTGTCCCCATTTCTTGGACACCATATGAGAGACTTTAGAGGCTGAAGTGGGAGGATTGCTTGAGCCAGGGAGGTCTAGAATGCAGTGATCTGTGGTCATACCACTGCACTCTAGCCTGGGCAACAGAGCGAGACCCTGTCTCAAAAGCAGCCACCACCAAAAACTATCTTGGAATTTTAATAGGATTACATTAAATTTGTAGATTAATTTGAGAACTGACATCTGTACAACATTCTAGGAACGTGGTATTTCATGTCATGTGTTCATTTCTTGTTAATGTCTTTCAGAAGAATTTTAGGATTTCCATCATATAGATCTTACACATCTTTTGTCAGATAAAAGATCTTTGTATTTTTGTTCCTAAATACTTCATACATTTGCATTGCCATTGTAAATGGGATCTTTCTTCCATTTTCTAATTAGTTAATGGTGGTACATATGAAAAGTATTTGAGATTTGTGTGCTGCTCTCTTGATTTTGTTTCTAGCCACCGTACTGAATCTTCATATTGCTTCCACTAAAATCTTAGTTGATTCTCTTAGGCTTCTTTGACTGTCTAACATTTATCATTTCATATGCAAATAATGATAGTTTTGTCTCTTCCTTTTCAATACTTACATCCTTTCCTTCCTTTCCTTTTTCCTTTCCTTTTTTTTCTTCTTTTTCAGGGCCTTGTTGTCACCCAGGCTGGACAGCAATGGTGTAATCTAGCTCAGTGTAACCTCAAACTCCTGGGCTGAAGGGATCCTCTTGCCTCAGCTTCCTGAGTGGCTGGGACTACAGGCAGGCAGCTAATTAAAAAAAATTTTTTTGTAGAGACAAGGTCTCGCTATGTTGCCTAGGCTGGTTTTCCGGCCACTTTAGAGGAAGGACTTAGATTTCCTTTTTGTCCTACTTTTAAGAGTTTTTTGTTAGGAATCGTCTGTGGAATGTTAGCTAAAACAGTCAATAAAATGCATTAAGTGCTAGCTGCATGCAAGATCCTAAGTTAGATACAGTTAGCCCTCTTCATCAGCAGGTCCACATCTTCAGATTCAACTGGATGAGGCTGAATACTTGAAAAAAGAAACAAAAATACAAATAAAAAGTATAACAACTGTCACCATTGTACAATATTGATACATTTTATTAGTGATGACTTAAAGTAGCTGGGACCAGGCACAGTTGTTCACACTTGTAATCCCAACACTTTGGGAGGTCAACCTTGGCGCATAGTGAGACCTTGTCTTTAGTAATCCCAACACTTTGGGAGGTCAACCTTGGTGCATAGTGAGACCTTGTCTTTACTAAAAAAAAAAAAAAAAAAAAAAAAAAAAATTATCCAGGTGTGGTGGTATGCACCTGTAGTCCCAGCTACTCAAGAGGCTGAGGTGGGCAGATCACTGGAGCCCAGGAGGTTGAGGCTGCGGTGAGCTATGAATGTGACACTGCACTCCAGCCTGAGCGACAGAGGGTGATCCTGTCTCTAAGTAAGTAAATAAAGTATATGGGGGATGTGTGTTGGTTATATGCAAATACTGCACCATTATATGTAAGGGATTGAGCATCCACAGATTCTGGTATGGTGTGGGGGCAGTATCCTAGAACTAGTCCCCCGCAAGATAGCAACCATGACTGAACTGTGGAAGAATCAAAGCTCTGTTAAACAGTGTACAATTCCTGTCTTCAAAAAAGTTATCTCATCGGGTAGATGAGACTTATAATGAATAAAAGGAATGAATACAGATTTGGAGATAGTGGTTGTTGTGATGCATAATCTTAATTGTGTTTTCTTCCAAAACAGATTCATTGGAAGAAGAGAAGGGCATCAAAGGAAGATAACTTGAGCCCAAGCTAAGTCGTCTGGATGGCCTGGAGTCATGTTTGAAAAATTTTATTGTTAAGTATTGTTTTTTACCGATTAAATCAATGTTAACATTCTTTACTTTCTGGTTGTGTTACTCAAAACAGGATTTTTAACAATGATAAAAATAAAGCTTGTTAGATCATTTTTAATGTAATAAATTGCTTCCTGAAGATTTGATTAAAGGGAAAACTAGGCCAATCTAAGCAGAGTCCAAATGAAGCAGAAGGTCCATAGAGAACAGGGGAAAAAAGGAAGTTGTGGAACCACAGACGCACACAGTAAAAGGAAAAAATTGGCCGGGCACAATGGCTCACACCTGTAATCCCAGTACTTTGGAAGGCTGAGGTGGGTGGGTCGCTGGAGCCCAGGAGTTTGGGCAACATGACAAAACCCCCATCTCTACAAATATATGGGCAACATGACAAAACTCCCATCTCTACAAAAAATACACAAACAAAAAACATTAGCCAGGCATGGTGTTGTGCACCTGTAGTCCTAGCTACTTGGTAGGCTGAGTTGGGAGTATCGCTAGAACTTGGGAGGTGGAGGTTGCAGTGAGCTGAGATTGAGCTGTTGCACCCCAACCTGGGTGACAGGGTGAAAGAGTGAGACCCTGTCAAAAAAAAAAAAAAGGAAGAAAGGAAAGAAAAGAAATTTACTTAATTAAATTAATTAATTTATTTTTGTGACAAGGTCTCTTTCTGTCTCCCAAGCTGGAGTACAATGGCAGAATCATAGCTCACTGCAGCCTCAAACTCCTCGGCTCAAGGCATTCTCCTGCCTTAAAGGCCTCCCAAAGTGTTAGTATTACAGGAATAAGCCACTGGGAGGCTAGATTTTTTTTGAAACAAAGTTTGGCTCTGTCACCCAGGTTGGAGTGCAGTGGTACCATCTCGGCTCACTGCAACCTCTGCCTCCTGGGCCCAAGTGATCCTCCTGCCTCAGCTTCTCAAGTAACTGAACTACAGGCACGTGCGCCTGGCTAATTTTTGTATTTTTTGTAAAGAAGGGTCTTGATATGTTGCCCAGGCTGGTCTTGAATTCCTGGGTTAAAGTGATCCACCCACCTTGGCCTCCCAAAGTGCTGGGATTACAGGTGTGAGTCACCACGACTGGCCAAAAAAATGTTAAGTGTTAAAATCAAAAAGAAAATTCACCAAGCCATTTTGCAGATTTTTCTGGAGAGATATAAATACAGAGATATACATATAAGGAGAGAGATAAAGATATACAGATAGTTCTGGACTGTACACCTTATGATAAAATAGTATCGGTTGGGTATAACTTTGTTGCAGAAAGGACAAAGGGAACTGATTAAAGACTTAAGGCATATATATACATATAATGTTTTCCCAATTCCTCATACCATACCTTTTTATTAATTTTTATTGATATAATTAATTTATATACCATAAATTCACCCTTTTAAATAAGTGCAGAATTTAGTGGGTTTTAGTATAGTATTCACAAGGTTGTACAACCATCACCACTATTTAATTCCAGAACATTTTCATCACCCGAGAATCACTGGCCCTACTCCCCATTTCCTCTCCCATTTCCTGGCAAGTATTTACTGACTTCCTGTAATTTGCCCATTTGGGACATTTCATATAAATGAAATCATACAACACACAATTTCACTAAATAAGACTTTTGTGTGTGGCTTCTTTCAAACAATTTTTAAAAATTGTGGTAAAGTAGGCATAACATAAAATTTACACTCTAATCACTGCCCCCCTCTTTTCTTGAGGCACGGTCTCACTCATCCCAGCTGGAGTGCAGTGGTGTGATCATGGCTGACTACAGCCTCAACCTCCCTGGGCTCAAGTGATCCTCCCATCTCAGTCTCACAAGTAACTGGGACCACAGGCACATACTACCACACCTAGCTAATTTTTGCATTGTTTGTTGAGACAGGATTTCGCTATGTTGCCCAGGCTGGTCTTGAACTCCCGGACTCCAGTGATCCTCTCATTTCAGCCTCCCAAAGTGCTGGGATTGCAGGCGTCCGCTACCACACCTGGTTGTCTGTAACCACTTTTAGGTGTACAATTTCAATAGTGTTAAGAACATTCACATTGTTGTACAACAAATCTCCAGAACTTTTTCATCTTCCCAAATTGAAACTCTGGACCTATTAAACACTAACCCCATTCTCTCCTTCTCCCAGCCCACGGTAACCACCCTTCTACTTTCTGTCTCTATGAATCTGACCACTCTGAGTACCTCATGTGAGTGGAATCACACAGTATTTCTCCTTTGGTGACTGGCTTATTTCGCTTAGCATAATGCCCTCAAGGGTTCTCCATGTTGTAATGTGTCAGAATTTCCTTCCTTTCAAGGCTGAAGAATACATCTGTTATATGGATCAATCACATTTCTCCATTCATCAGTTAATGCACATGTAGGTTGTTTGCACCTTTTGGTCATTGAGAATAATGCTGCTGTATACATATGTGCATGTGTTTCTGCATGACCATTTGTTTGCAATTCTTTTGACTATATATGTATGAATAGAATTACTAGGTCATATAGTAGCTCTAAGTTTAACTTTTTGAGTAACTGCCAAAGTATCTTCCATAGTGCTACATGGTTTTACATTCTCGCTAACAATGTATAATGGTTCCAGTTTCCCCAAATCCTCCCCAATACTTTTTATTTTTATTTTTTTAAAATAATTACAGCCATGCTAGTGAATGTGAAGTGGCATCTCATTGTGGTTTGGGTTTTCAATTTTATAATACTTTAATTTTTAATATCAAAAGAATATACTTGGCCTGAGGTGGTGGCTCACGCCTGTAACCCCAGCATTTTGGGGGGCCAAGGTGGGTGGATCACCTGAGTTTAGAAGTTCAAGACCAACCTGGCCAACATGGTGAAACCCTGTCTCTACTAAAAATACAAAAATTAGCTGCGTATGGTGGCACGCACCTGTAATCCCAGTTACTCTGGAGGCTGAAGCAGGAGAATCATTTGACCCAGGAGGTGAGTTGGAATCACGCCACCAAACTCCAGCCTGAGAGGAGACGCTGTCCAAAAATAAATAAATAAATAAATATACACTAAATTATTTTCTTGTATAATTAATAAAATTATTTTACAAAAGAAGTCCATTACTAACACACACTTGCATGCAAAGCACAAAGACACATCTAAGGGCCACTCTGGGAGGGAGGCCGAGGCAGGCAGATCACTTGAGGTCAGGAGTTCGAGACCAGCCTGGCCAACATAGTAAAACCCCATCTCTACTAAAAATACAAAAATTAGCCAGGCGTGCTGGTGGGTGCCTGTAATCCTAGCTGCTCGGGAGGGTGAGTCAGGAGAATCACTTGAGCCCGGGAGGTGGAGGTTGCAGTGAGCCAAGATTGTGCCACTGCACTCCAGTCTAGGCAACACAGCAAGGATTCCTCTAAAAAAAAAAAAAAAAAAAAAAAAAAAAGTGTACTAAAATTAAGTTGGCAAGAATTTACATGTAGTCCTTTCTACATATAAGACATAAACACCTGATACTTGATTCATTCCCTTCATTCTTCAGCCAGCCTCCCAGGACAAGTCTGGCAACGATTCTGACCATCGGGCAACAGAAATTACCTTTTTACAGCTTATGTTAGGACAGCCTACGTGGGTTTACATTTGGCTTAATATAATACTACCCTACTTCTCCAATAAGTATTTAAGCATTTATAGAAAAATGGAAACTTTTCAATTTAACCACTTCTACTACCCTGGACGATCTGAGAAAGAGGTGACATACCTCACTTCAAGGAAAAAAGGGTCCTTTTTGCTCACAAGTATTTCCTCATAAACCTTATTTTTGAAATGCTTTTAAAACCAGATTCTAATTAATCTAGATTTGCAAAATTATAAAGGAAAAGTCTTGCCGGTTGTTGCTTTGGTTAATTTCACAATTTAGTAAATTGCAACTAAGTATTTAATACAAAGCAGCCTTTGGTGGGGGCGGGGGGTTGTTTAACAAAATGCATCTCATTACCAGCCCAGAGAAACTTTTCCGTGTGAAAACAGAAGAGGGATTACCATGGAGAGATTCATTATGGATTTCGGGAGGGCTTTTTCCTCAGAAATAGAGTGAAAAGAAAAAGTCGCTGTGTAAGAAATCTGATACTGACGCTGTGTGACTCAGAAGTTGGTCCAAAAGTTTATCTTCGGCAATTATGTCTAGATGTTCAACTACACATCTTCTACAACAGGTCACACGAAACCGCATTTCCCAAGCAAGGCAAAGCGATCAAATGAGTTATGACACGCGTTCCTGCGGTCTTATACTTTTATTTTTGATTTAACAATCAAAAACAGTTTTGAATCGGATGAATTACCAAATTTGGTTGGGTCTTGTTTGGCTTTCTGCTTTGCTTTTTAATCAGCCACTTGCCAGCAACTGTTGCACGTGCCCATTAGCACTCGAAAAATAAAAACAAACACACAAGACCAGGTAAGGTTCCCCTACTAACCCAAATGATCCGTTTCCTTAACACAATTTAAAAACCACAGTTAGGAGTGTGAAAACAGGCATGTTTTTGTGTGTGTTTGTGTGCCACGATCGGTCCAAATCCTTAATTCCCTTTTAAGGAACAGATATATAATAAAAATTCGAAAGAAACCTCATTAGAAATGCAAAGAGGTTTGTAAAACAAGAGGCTTCTTTCATCCCAGAAAACCACACCAAAACAAGGGGAGAAAAATGAATGCAATGGATATGCGTTTGCCAAAGTTTCAATCCTGCCCACGGAGACACTGCACTGCACACATTTTGAAGAGGAAAAGAGGGGGTTGAGGGGAGGGTGAGAGAGATCGAGCGAGTGCGGCTTCAAACTGCAACAATTCAATCTCCATTTTGAACAATGCACCTCTTTCCTCTTGTAAATCCAGTTTTTTTGCCACTTGATGTGCCCTCTGTTTGGGGGGTCGGCGGGGCTGGGGGGAGACCGGAGCAGGATGCACAGTACAGGACTGAGCAAGGGGGGAGGGCAGAGGAGGTGGGGAAGGAGTCTGCGGCAACCGGGCTGAGTGGGTACCTGGAGTGCTGCTGTAGGTACTATGGCTCCTGAAGCTGCTTTCCATATAGTAACTGGCGTCGTCGTCGTCTTCCAGCTCCTCCGAGTAATCGGAGTCATCGTCGTCTTCCTCCATCTCATCCTCCTCATTGTCCTCAGACTCGTGGGTCTCCTCGGTGTGGCCGTCCTCTTCCTCCTCCTCGCTGTCGTGGTCATTGTGCACCACCTTGCTGATGGCCCTCAGGGCCACGATGGTCCCGGCCAGGTAGCCGCCCCCGCCTCCTCGCTCCCCGTCCCTACCCGGCCGCCGCCCGGGGGCGCTGGTGCTGCCGGGGAGGGATGGGAGAGTCGTGGGGGCGGGGAACCGGCGGCGGCGGCTTCCTCCGGCTACTGCTGCCCCTGCTGGGCGAGCTCAGCCGCGTCTTGGGGTCCATCTCAGCCTGGCCTGCGGCCCATCTGCCCCGGAGGCTACCGCGGTGCTGCGAGCGAAGACCCTCGATGGGTCCAGACGTGGGCCGTGGCGGCGATGGCAGGGCTCCGCAGCGGGAGCCGCGGGCTGCTTGGGCGGCCTGTCCACCTGCCTCTCCGATTGGAGCCTAGGCAGGCGGGAGAAGGTAAAGCTGCGGGGAAGCGGCGGGCGCAGTGGGGGCGGTGGGCAGCGCTGGGGCGGGTGGGGAGGCCCGCGGTGCCCGGCGGGAGGGGCCCGGCCGGCGGAGGCGGCTGGAGGGAGAAGGCTCAATCAGAATTGCTGCGGCCCTACGCCGGATCGCCTTCTGCCGCTATCTTGTTTCTTCCCTCTACCAGAGCGGGGTCACGTGAGCTGCACCGCGGGAGAGCCTGGGACGCAGCGACGCTACGCGGCGGCGCTGCGGGGAGCGCGGGAGTGTGGAGTCCCGGGCGGGAGCCCGGAGCGCCCGCACTCCGCGCAGCGCGGCGCGGCTGGACTCCGGGCGCCGGTGGCGCGGCTGAGAGGGGCGTGCAGTTCGCGAAATGCCCCTTGTCAAAGGCCTTCGGAGACCACAGCCTCCGTCTGGAGCCCAAAGCCGGCCAGACCTCCTCCCCGCATCTCCCCTTCTGCGGCTGGGAGAGGAAGGCAGGGGAGCCCCCAGGTATCATTGCCCTCTCGCCCCATCGGGAAACTGATGCTGAAAGAGCCAGAGAGAGAAAGAAAAAAAAAGTCGCGGAGACGGGCCGCCCGAGCGACCGAAAGCACTGGGCAGCGCCAGCGACGGAGGGAAATTAGTTGGGGGAGACAAGCACAAGCCCCCAGAATTTAGGGAACTCCGAAGCTTGGAGCTGGAGTCCTGAAATTGACTCCGATGACAACCGCTGTGGGTCTGTGCCAGGAGCCACGCCCTGAGGGAAGGGCGTCCTAAGACCTGTTGCGTGGAATCCCCACTAGGAAAGCCTCAGTAAACTCCAGAATGCAACTACTGCACTTCCAATCTCCCGCCACCTTCCCAATGCCTTAGCTAGGACCTCGTTTGCCGTGGAAAAGAGGGAATCTTGTCTAAAACCTACTTCACGGTGTTACATGTTTGTATTATCGGGAAATAACCTTAATTTATTGACCTGACATGTCACTAGCTTTCAGCTTAGCCCAGGGGACGAATCATGATGACATTTCAGGCACCCTGAAACCTTATCACAGGGACTCAACCCTGAGTGGTTGAGGTCAGCTCTTCAGGTAAGAGAAAGGTTTTATAAACATATATTAATGTTTATGGAGATAAGTGACAACCAAAAGTAATTTTTTTTTTCTTTGAGACCGAGTCTCACTCTGTCGCCCAGGCTGGAGTTCAGTGGCGCGATCTCGGCTCACTGCAAGCTGCGCCTCCCGGGTTCACGCCATTCTCCTGCCTCAGCCTCCCGAGTACCTGGGACTACAGGTGCCCGCCACCATGCCCGGCTAATTTTTTGTATTTTTACTAGAGACAGGGTTTCACCGTGTTAGGCAGGATGGTCTCGATCTGACCTCATTATGGGGAGGCCCATCTCGGCCTCCCAAAGTGCTGGGTTTACAGGCGTGAGCCACCGTGCCCGGCCTCAACCAAAAAGTAATTTAAAGAAAAATAGTTGACCGGGCGCAATAGCTCACACCTGCAATCCCAGCCGGTTGAGAGACCAAGGCCAGACGATAGATTGAGATCAGGAGTTCGAGACCAGCCTGGGCAACATAGCAGGACCCTGTCTCTAGAAAAAAATTGAAAAATTAGCCGGGCATGGTGGTGCACACCTGTGGTTCCAGCTAGGCAAGAGGCTGAGGTGGGAGGATCCCTTGAGCCTGGGAGGTGGATGTTGCACTGAGCTGTGATTACACTGCTGCACTCCAGCCTCAGTGACAGAGCAAGACCCTGTCTCAAAATTTTTAAAAAAGAAAGAAAGAAAAATACTTAACAGGATTCTGTACATCAGATGACTTATTTCAACCTAGTTAGGAAAACAGAACACCTATGTGAGATGAAGATTAAAATATAGGCACAAATTGCCAAATAAATGCATTCAATACAATTTGGTTGAGCTCTAAGGGTGACAAATGTGTCTATGTCTCCAGGGACCAGGTAAGTAATGTAAGTCAATAAAGTAGGCAAGGTGAAGACCTAGGCCAATGGAAATGCCCATATTTTGTTTGAAGAGGGTGGCCAGGCGTGATGGCTCAGGGCTGTAATCCCAGCACTTTGGGAGGCTGAGGGGGGCAGATCACCTGAGGTCAGGAGTTCGAGACCAGCCTGGCCAACATGGTGAAACCCCATCTCTATTAAAAATACAAAAAAATTAGCCGGGCATGGTGGTGCACGTCTGTAATCTCAGCTACTCGGGAGGCTGAGGCACAAGCATCACTTGAACGCAGGAGGCAGAGATTACAGTGAGCTGAGATCATGCCACTGCACTCCAGCCTGGGTCACAGAGCGAGACTCTGTCAAAAAAAAAAAAAAAAAAAAAAAGCAGAGGGGGAGATTTTGGGAGACTGAGTGAAGTGGGGGACTGGGGGACTGAGTGAAGCTGGTACCTGAGTGAGAGGTAGGCAGAGGGGCAGGCCAGCAGCAAGGCTGGGATAGGAAACCTGAAGCTTCCTCCCCAAGCTGAGAACTCAAAGAGGGAATGAAGTGATTCCAGGAAAACATACTAAGTTCCCACTGTATGTATACAGAACTTCCAACTAATTCAGTTCAAACAATAAATTCAGCATCTAAGATCACCAAACCCTTCAGAAGAAAAGCCACCATGACAGAGTGACAAAGAGTCCACAACAGACTCAACAGACAGCCAGCAGCACAGTCAACAATAAACTCCCAGAATTAGGTCCCCAAAGACTGTTAGAAACCAAAAAGAGAACAGTTATGATATGTAATGTTTTCAAAAATAAAAAAGTACAATCACAAAGATGAACTATCAAAGACAGATTATTAGGAATGAACAAATATGTATATTTTTTTGTTTTTATTTTGTTTTTTTTTTTTTTGAGACAGAGTCTTACTCTGTTGCCCAGGCTGGAATGCAGTGGTGTGATTACGGCTTACTGCAGCCTCAACCTTCCCAGGCTCAGATGATCCTCCCAACTCAGCCTCTTGAGTAGCTGGGACTACAGGCATGCACCACGCCACCTGGCTAGTTTTTAAACTTTTTGTAGAGATGTAGTTTGGCCATGTTGCCCAGGCTGATCTTAAACTTCTGGATTCAAGTGATCCATCCAATTCGGCCTCCCAAAAGGCTGGGATTACAGGCATGAGCCGCTGTGCAGGCCCCAAATAGATTTTTTAATAGTTTAGAAATGAAAAACAGGAGCTGGAGGCCATTATCCTTAGCAAACTAAAGCAGGAACAGAAAACCAAATACTGCATGTTCTCATAAGTGGGAGCTAAATGATGAGAACACACGGACACAGAGAGAGGAACAACAGATACTGTGGCCTATAGGAGGGTGGAGGGTAGGAGGAGGGAGAGGATCAGCAAAAATAACGAATGGGTACTAGGCTAGGCTTAGTATCTGGGTGACAAAATCATCTGTACAACAAACCCCCATGACACAAGTTTACCTATAACAAACCTGCACATGCACCCCTGAACTTAAAGCTAAAAAAATCATAATAATTAAATCAGTAAATGAACAATCCTACTGATAAAATGTAGAATTTCATTTCATGTCATTTTATTTAGAATTTTATAAATCTTCAGTCATACCTGGGAGAGCGCTAAAGCACTGATTAAAAGCAAAAAACCGCCGGGCGCGGTGGCTCAAGCCTGTAATCCCAGCACTTTGGGAGGCCGAGACGGCGGATCACGAGGTCAGGAGATCGAGACCATCCTGGCTAACACGGTGAAACCCCGTCACTACTAAAGAATACAAAAAAACTAGCCGGGCGAGGTGGCGGGCGCCTGTAGTCCCAGCTACTCAGGAGGCTGAGGCAGGAGAATGGCATAAACCCAGGAGGCGGAGCTTGCAGTGAGCTGAGATCTGGCCACTGCACTCCAGCCTGGGAGACAGAGCGAGACTCCGTCTCAAAAAAATAAATAAATAAATAAAAATAAATAAATAAAAGCAAAAAACTAGAAATAATCTTTATGTCTCATTGGGAGCTGGTTAAAGAAAAACGGAATGTTATACAGTCTATACAAAGTAATACAGATCTGTATTTCAAGACTACAGTCACTCAGTATGCAACATAACAAATAACAAGGCATTAATCATTGTTTTAAAGAGAAATGCAAAACACGACGAATGGGATTTCTTGGATAAATCTAGGTATCCTGGATATCTTTAAAGTTTGTTTTAAAGAGTCTGACTTTGAGATTTTATAAATATCTTTGAATAGTAATATTCTATTAGAATCTAATTATTTATAGTATATTTTCATAAAAGATCCTCCATACAAAAGGAACATTTGGATAAACAGAATCAAAAAAATTCTTTTTTATAATTTATATAGTAAAACTGATTTTGAAGTTAGGCCCTTGGATTTTTTTTAGTAAGCTTTTAAAAAAATGTAAAATGTCCTCCCCACTACTATCTATCTATCTATCATTTATTTATTTAGAGATGGAGCCTTGCTCTGTTGCCCAGGCTGGAGTTCAAAGGTGTGATCTCAGCTTACCACAACCTCCGCCTCCCAGGTTCAAGTGATTCTTCTGGCTTAGCCTCCCGAGTAGCTCGGCTTACAGGCACAGGCCTCCACGCCTGGCTAATTTTGTATTTTTAGTAGAGATGGGTTTTCACCATGTTGGCCAGGCTGGTCTCGAACTCCTGACCTCAAGTGATCCTCCCGCCTCAGCCTCCCAAAGTGCTGGGATTACAGGTGTGAGCCACCGTGCCCGGCCCCTACTACTTTTAAAAAAGTAACAGCTTATATTGTCAAGACATAGAAATGGCAACCTTGATAAAGTAATGAGTAATAGTACATTCCCTTGGTTGCCACCCTCAAAGGATTCTGAGCTCTATAACACAAAGTAAGACATTTTCATTATCATACTTTTACTTATACAGAATATCAAAGTAACCCACGACAAGCTAGGCACATCTCTGTTTGATTCAAATACACAATAAAGTCCTGAAAAAACAACCCTCTGTGGGTTGTTTTGGGGGGTTTGTTTTGTTTTGGAGGAGGGGGGCTGCTGTGCTTAACATAAAATATCCACATCCAGCAAATCCTTTGTATGTGAAACGTACAGAGTTGATTTCGAATTTAATTTAGAATTCAAGCTTTTTTCCAGTTTCAACTGGACTACTTGGTACCTTGCATCTATTCATTTAAAAAAAACTCAAAATAGGACCAAGCACGATGGCTCATGCTTTTAATCCCAGCACTTTGGGAGGCCAAGGTGGGCAGACTGTTTGAGCTCAGGAATTCCAGACTAGCCTGGGCAACACGGTGTAACCCCATCTCTACTAAAAATACAAAAATTATCGGGGTACAGTGGCGCATGCCTGTAGTCCCAGTTACTCAGGAGGCTGAAGTGGGAGGATGGCTTAAGCCCAGGAGGCAGAGGTTGTAGTGAGCCAGGACTGCACTACTGCTCTCCAGCCTGGACAGCAGAGCCAGATCCTGTCTCAAACAAAAGGGGAGGGAGGGAGGAAGGAAGAAAAGAATATTCCAAAAATTATGGGAAGTAACTAAATTCATTTGTGTGTCATTTCATCTTTTTGAAGTTAAAAGTAATTGACATTTTGGTTAGTAAATGCAACGTCTGCAGCTGAAATATACAAGTTTGGATATTTAAATTAGGGCCAGGCACAGTGGCTCATAATCCCAGCACTTTGGTAGGTCAAGGCAGGCAATCCCCTGAGATCAGGCATTCAAGACCAGACTGGACAACATGGCGAAACCCCATCTCTACTAAAAATACAAAAATCAGCTGCGTATGGTGGTGGCAAGCACCTATAATCCTAGCTACTCGGGGCTGAGACAGGAGAATCGCCTGAACTAGGGAGGCAGAGGTTGCAGTCAGCCAACATTGCACCACTGCACTCCAGCCTGGGCAACAGAAAAAGATTCCATCTCAAAAAGATTAATTAATGAATTAATTAGGTTGTTTTCTACATTAAAATCAAATTTTACTAAGGAACACATAAAAGAACATTGAATACATTTAGGAGGTTAATTTTTTTTAAAGATTTTTTAAAGCTGAACCATAATTAAGAATATCAACCTATGATCCTTTTTTAAAGGGTATGCTTTCTGTTTTTCCCCAGGTCAATTTTCCTTTTTTAGCCTTTTTTTTTTTCTTTTTTTTTTTTTTTAGACGGAGTCTTGCTCTGTCACTCAGGTTGGAGTGCAGTGATGCAATCTCAGCTCACTGCAAGCTCCGCCTCCCAGGTTCACGCCATTCTCCCGTCTCAGCCTCCCGAGCAGTGGCGACTACAGGCGCCCACCACCACGCCCGAATAATTTTTTGTAGTTTTAGTAGAGATGGGATTTCACCGTGTTAGCCAGGATGATCTCGATCTCCTGACCTCGTGATCCGCCCATCTCGGCCTCCCAAAGTGCTGGGATTACAGGCGTGAGCCCCCACGCCCGGCCTTTTTTCTTTTTTTTTTGAGATGGAATCTCACTCTGTTGCCCAGGATAGAGTGCCATGGTGTGACTTTGACTCACTGAAACCTCTGCCTCCCACCTTAGCCTCTCGAGCAGCTGGGACTACACGAGTTTTCTCTCTCATTTTTTGAAATGGGGTCTTGCTTTGTCTCCTAGGCTGGAGTGCAGTAGTGCGACCAAGGCTCACTGTAGCTTCAACCTCCCTGGCTCAAGCAATCCTCTTGCCTCAGCCTCCAAAGCAACTGGACCACAGATGTGCTCCACCACAAACGGCTGAGTTTTAATGCTTGGTAGAGACGGGGTCTCTCTATGTTGCTCAGACTGGTCTCAAACTCCTGGGCTCAAGTGATCCTCCTGCCTCAGCCTCCCAAAGTCACCTGGGAACACAGGTGACAGCCACCCTGCTTGGTACCCTAGGACAAGTTTCAAACTCCTAAAAGACCCATGTTTTTATTCCACTTTTTTTAAGGAGAAGCAGGAGAGGGTGGCTAGGGACTGGTGAGGGAGGGGAGAACTGAGGTGAGATTGCAGAGAAATAGGTAGGACTTTTTACTAAATGTCAAAACCGAAATAACTATCAGAAGAGTCAAACTTTTACATAAACTATTTTTAAAAGGTAAAAATTTCTTAAAAATCAAAGAAATCCTAGGTGAGACGGCTCTTTGATGGTCTAGAGTGCTTAAAATGCGTTCTTACCTGGGCACTCTTGGATCATGCCATGTGCTCACACCAGTCTGCGTTTGTAAGAAATATAGCTGGTCTTGTTGCGTTGTCCTCTGTTCTGTAAAACTAAGAAACACTGATAACAAAAACATTCAGAATGTCCGGATCAAAGACAGTTGTATACCTTAAGATGATACACTAATAGGGAAAAATATCCAAATTACAAATCTATTTTATTTATTATCAGAAAGGGCTTTACACATCATTTGTTCTGTCTCTTGGAAACAATTTTATAAATGATGAGGGCTATGGGCCAGCTATCTAAAGGCAAACTCAACTTATCATGTGGCTCAAGTACTGAATATGTTGCAATGGAAAACAAATCAAGATTGTCACAATACTAATAATTAAAAGATTTTAAATGATGTATAAAGGGCTCTGAGAAAGAGGCTGGTCAACATTTGGAAGATTTGAGGAGGAACTTCCAGAAACTTTCAGAGTTTGGAGATTGATAATGCTTCTTATGCCTAATTTTACATCAAAACTTCTGTTTTCTCTTTGCTAGACAAAGGTGAATTCTCAAGGTTGCATGTGAGCTCAAAGAGAGGCAAAGCAGATAAGATACTGGAGAGACATTCTATGTCATAAACAGATAGAGATGGAAAAATAGCCAAGTTAGAAAGAAGACGACTAAAGAGCAAGCGTGCACACGGGGGAGAAAACAGTCAAGGACAAAATGAACTCAAAGCCCTTGGGAAGGCAGAGGAAAGGCCAGGGTGAAGAGAACAATCTATACAAGGGTTTCTTTATGGTGGGTTTTGTTTTGTTTTGTCTTTTATAAAAAACGACAGAACCACTTTTCTTTAAATAAAATCTAATGAGAAACTTCAATACATAAAATAAAACTATTACTAATATTTATTAGTATAAATCTAATTTGTTTATAAACTTATAAAGTCAATAAATTTAAACTTTAAACTTTTAAAAATGATAAACATAAAATCATATTATTATAGAGGACAGCTATAATAATTTCAGCCTTGGTATCCACTTTATTTTTATGTTTTGGTTGTATAATTTTTAAAATTCAAATCACAGAAATATTATAAAAGTATAACCACTCCCACTCTAAAGAGCTTGCCTTATAATCTCCAAGAGAAATGGCAGGAGACAATTTCTTCTCAGGTCTGAACATTGATAATCACAGTTAAAATTTACTGTGCCAGACAATGTGCCAGCATTTCACATGAGATTAAATATCACTGATTTCTTGCAACAAACATAGATGGTTGATGCTATTATTTTCCCCTATAGAGGATAAAACTGAGGCTCAAAGAGGTTAAATAATGTGCTCAGTGTTACATGGCAAAGCCAGGATATGAACCTAGGTCTCTCTGTGTCTCAAGCCTATAATTTAATGATAGTGCTAAAAGTTAACCTTTGAGTCACAGCACAGTTAATGGACAAATTTTTTCAAATTAAAGAGTTAAAATACATTTAAAAATAAAATTAGAATCATGCATTTGCAGAAGTGTTTTTAAAAGTATTCTTCAGTAAAATAAAACTTATATGTGGCAATTCCCGATGTTGGTCATTAGGTGTCAACATCAATCTAAAGTGGTTTATCTACAGTCTGTTAAGAGGACAAGGATGTAGGTAACCTTGGTGAGCTTTTGGCAAGCAAGGAGAGGAAGTCAAGTTCACAGTACATACAAGTAGTCACAAGTTGGTATTAATTTAGAAACTTCTGTATTCTATTAGTAGAAGACTCATGTTATCTTCCACATGAAACTCTATAATCCAGAAATTTATATAAGATTGTAATCATTTTATAAAAACATAGAAGTGACTCAATCATTTACAACAGTCCACTCACATAATCCAAAATTATAGACAGTACAAATATATGAGCATCAGCAGAAATATGCCTTTGAAATTATTTCTAAATATGTCTAAAAAATTACATCGTAAGTTGTACTTCAGATTACTGTTATCAGTGACAATACCACCTTACCTTTCTAGACAGTGCCTATTTACAAAATAGTCTCACTTCACCTCGTACGTGTGCTTCTCACACTACCTTTGTTATAAACTAGTCATCTCACTTCATGATAAAAGAATACAAATGCTGAGGCTGAATGACTAGCACAAGGTCAAACTGTTGGCTGGGTAGTTATCTACCACTTCAAAGACTTTTCAAAGTTGGGAGGTTTTATATTTATTTTCATGCAGAATCCCTAAGCCCAGATTAATAACTTTTTTCAAAGTTATTATTTCCTCAGCAAGCTGAAATCAGTAAACCATGTTTTATTTTTCCTTTGCCAGTTGTCATACCATAGCCTTCTGGTAGGTATGGAAGAATATGTAAACTTGTCCTGCTCATGTAATGTCTATGTCGTTGTGACCTGACTCTCCTCTCTGCCAGCCTGGGATCTGAAGACTGTCCACATGTTGCACCGTTTGTTCCACTAACTGGAGTGTTCTCATCAACAAAGCAGCTAAGAGGTCTGTCTGCCAGGGCTAGAATATTCGGATGCCAGTCTATTGAAAATTAACAAGGAAAAGACCTTTTCAATTTAGATATGAAAAGTAAAGTTCTCTAGACAATGTATGTACTGTAGTAACAATCACTTATCATATCTGAAAACAGAATGACTAATACAAGTATAGTGACTTCAAGAACTCTGAGTAAAAGCAAACCTGAAGTCTCTAAGCACCAAAGAAACACAAATGAAAAGCACGTCATCGACTATGTATTTAAATGACTTTATTTTAATGGCATTTGATATAAAATCCACATATATCTGTGGATGTGAGTACTGGCTTACAAAACACTGCCTGATCTAGCTACAGCCTCTCAGACCTGACTTCCCACCATTCTCTCCCCCACTCTGCTTCTGCCACACTCATATTCTTCCTGTTCCTTCAACTTGCCGAGGTCATTCCACCTGAATGAGCAGTTGCTCTTCCTTCCACCTGGCATATTCTTTTCTCCTACTCTCTCTAGGCCTGGCTGTTTTTTGTCATTCACATCAGCTTATTGTTTCCTCCTAAGAGGTTCTTCACACCTCCCAATCTAAAAAAGTCGCCCAGTCCTTTGACAACACATCACAAAAGGGAAGAAGACAGTTTGTCTCTTTAAGGAGCTTCCCGTCTACTTTTGCAGATCTTCCAAAATAAAAAATAATCAAGAGTTCATTCTTAAATTAACATGGTCGGGTGCAGTGGCTCACACCTATAATCCCAATAGTTTGGGAGACAGAGGCGGGTGGATCACTTGAGGTCAGGAGTTTGGACCAGCCTGGCCAACATAGCAAAACCCCATCTCTACTAAAAATACAAAAATTAGCCGGGCATGGTGGCGGGTGCCTGTAATCCCAGCTACTTGGGAGGCTGAGGCATGAGAATTGCTTGAACCCTGGGGGCAAAGGTTGCAGTGAGCCGAGATCGCACCACTTCACTCCAGTCTAGGCAATAGACTGGGACTCCATCTCAAAAAAAAAAAAGTCTAGGCACAGACTGGGACTCCATCTCAAAAAAAAAAAAATTCCTTGGCAGTTTAATATTAGATAAATTCTCATGTTTAATACTAGAAATGCAACTTGGCAACGTGAGCTAAGCTTACCTGAGAGTCATATCAACACAAAACTTTGTGATCCAAATGAGCTAAATTAGTTCTCAAAAAATACAAGGAGGTGCAGCTAATGACAAGAATTTGGTATTTTTTATGCCTAGTGCCAGTCCTGCCTTAAGAGGGGGAAATAGGGAAAACAAAACACTGTGGCCAAGATGGCAAATTTTTTTCTCACTTAAAAGAGTGGGGAGAGGGGCATTCAGCTACTTAGACTATTTGTTTTCGGTTACTTCAAAAGCAACTCTTTGCGGTTTCCGAAAATTATCTTGCATCCAAATGTCGTTATACAGTAAGTTCCATGAACTGACTATACTTGACATTCTTCAAGATTTAGTTCAGAGATTCCTCTGCTTATCCATTGAATTCATTCAATCATTTATTTTATTTTCATTTTATTTTATACTTGAGACTGAGTCTTGCTCTGTCACCCAGGCTGGAGTGCAGTGAGCGCAATCTCGGCTCACTGCCAATTCTCTACCTCCTGAGTTCAAGCAATTCTCATGCCTCAGCCTCCTGAGTAGCTGGGATTACAGGCTCTACCAGGCATGCCTGGGTTAATTCTCAGGTTTTAGTAGAGATGGGTTTCACCATGTTGGCCAGGCTGGTCTCGAACTCCTGACCTCAAGTGATCCACCCACCTCACCTCAGCCTCCCAAAGTGCTGGGATTACAGGCATGAGCCACTGCACCCGGCTCCCTGAATTTTTCAAAATACAAAGTTTTCTCTTTTACATTATGACTCTCAGGTAAAAGCTTAGCTCACGTTGCCAAGTTGCATTTCTAGTATTAAACTGCCAAGGAATTTATCTAATATTAACCGCTGGCGAATTTTTTTTTTTTTTGAGATGAGTCCTGTGTCTATTGCCTTGACTGCAGTTCAGCAGGCGATCTTGGCTCACTGCACCACCTCCTGTGGCCAAGTGATCTTTGTGCCTCAGCCTCCTGAGTAGCTGAGATTAGAGACGGCACCACCACGCCTGGCCAATTTTTTTGTATTTTTAGTAGAGACATGGTTTCACCATGTTAGCCAGGCTGGTCTTGAACTCCTGACCTCAGGTGATTCGCCTGCCTCTGCCTCCCAAAGTGCTGGGATTACAGGCGTGAGCCACCGTGCACGGCGGCTTACTTCAATCTAGTTAGGAAAACAGAACACATATGTGAAAATGAAAAATACAAGCACTAATTGTCAAATAAATGTATTCAATATACTTTGGTTGAGCACCAAGGGTGGCAAATGTGAATATGTGTATATGCTCATTGCAGACCAGGTAAGTAAGGGCAAGTCAACAAAGATGGTAAGATGAGGGACTGTACCAATGGGAATGCCCCCCCTCTTTTTTTTTTTTTTCACGATATTCACTTTCAGCCGCTTCAGGCTGGAGGCAGTGGTGCACTTTACCACTGCAACTCCACCTCCCAAGCTCAGTGATTTCAAATATTCCTCCCGAAAGCAGTTAGATTACAGGCGCCCCCACCAGCACGCCTGGCTAATTTTTGTATTTTTAGTAGAGACGGGGTTTCACTACGTTGACCAGACTGGTCCCGAACTCCTGACCCCAAGTGACCTGACTGCCTCGGCCTCCCAATGTGCTAGATTATAGGCGTGAGCCACTACTCCTGGCCCTTAGATGCTCCAGCTTTATGCAAGTGTGTGTTACTAATGGATTCTTTTTGTAAAATAATTTTATTATACAAGAAAATAGGCCGGGCGCGGTGGCTCAAGCCTGTAATCCCAGCACTTTGGGAGGCCGAGACGGGTGGATCACGAGGTCAGGAGATAGAGACCATCCTGGCTAACACGATGAAACCCCGTCTCTACTAAAAAAATACAAAAACTAGCCGGGCGATGTGGCGACGCCTGTAGTGTGCCAGCTACTCGGGAGGCTGTGCAGGAGAATGGCGTGAACCCGGGAGGCGGAGCTTGCAGTGAGCTGAGATCCGGCCACTGCACTCCAGCCTGGGCGACAGAGCGAGACTCCGCCTGCAAAAAAAAAAAAGAAAAAAAAGAAAATAATTAGTGTGTATGTATTTTATATATATATATTTTTAGACAGCATCCTCTCGTGACGGAGTTCAATGGCCTGACCCAACTCATGGCAACCTCCACCTCCCGGGTCAAGTGATTCTCCTGTTCCAGCCTCCTGAGTAGCTGGGATTACAGGCACCTGTCACCATACCTGGCTAATTTTCATATTTTTAGTAGAGATGGGGTTTCACCATGTTGGGCAGGCTGGTCTTGAACTTCTGGCTCCCCCAAAATGCTGGGATTACAGGCAT